CTATATCTCCTTGAACGTAGTTAACACTCGTGTGAGAACTGCAATCAGGTAGCGGTGCTAATGCCGCAAGAAACCAGGAACGCTGCGCCATTGAATGATTGATAAACAGTATTAGTTGTCGTTAGTTGAACATTCAACGTAGTGCATCACTTACTTAAAAATAACTGTATTTTTATGTATGAAAGAAACTTATTCATATGCTGAAATATTCTATTGTTATCCTAGAGTCTAAGACCTAGTAGACTATAAGTTGAATTAACTCAAAATCTTTATTACATTCAAGATATGACATTTTAAGTATCTATATTACATTTAAAACAAATTTTTCGTCTCAAATGGTTGTTTAGACTTTATTATACTAATCTGCACCAAGGGACTTGGTTTAGCGACTGAGTGTGAGTGTGGCTGTCAGATATGGACGTTACTTGGCACATTCATCAAGTAAGGAATATAAAGAATATCTGGTAAATCATTTGCGTCTTAAGTTTCAAGAAATTATTTATATGTGAGTAACTTTCATGCTTCTATAGAAGTGTTAGTAATTGTGCCATGCTCATAGGCGTAAATAATGACCTTGTTTTTCTATATTGTAGTACATAGTCTTGTGGCAGACAGCTCAGTCATCCGCCTTTAGCTTAATTTTTAATTTTTACGTTTATTTAAAACCTAGTCATTGTCAACCTTATTACACAAGATGGTAATATTTTTCACGTATGTGATTGATTTAAACGAGAGAGATATTTTTTTTAAATGTCTCATTCGGTTAGCCATGTCTTTAACAATTAAGTTTTTATTAATAGTGGGAGTTTAGAGCTTATGTGATGAAAATTAAAAGTTTGTCTAACACATTTATAACTTTCTCCGCAACGTCGCAATGACAAGGAAGCCATATCGAAGTTGTTTTATTAATATGAAAAGCTCGTGATGACTTCCGCAAACGTAAACAATATTCCAATTATAATGAACATACTCCGGAAGGGGAAAACTTCCTGTGTGGAAGAGGAGTGGTTTAATTAAGTCATTAGTGAAAACACACACTATCAATGATCATATACCATTTAATACCAAACTAAAAAGAAGTAATTTAAATGTGATGGTATTACAATTATGACAATATTAAAATTTGTAGATGGATGTATTGCGTAAAAGGTGACATGATCAAAAAGGGAGTGATGACTGAGATGACGTATGATAGAGTTATGTGGAGGACAAAAACCTGTTGTGCCGACCTTACGGGACTAGGATAAGGAGAAAGATGATGATGACATTATTAAAATATGTATTTTATTTTTTGATTATGGCAACCTTGAGTTCGCTCGGAATAGCAAAAGGTTTATTCGCAAACAATGTAATTATAACAAACACAATTAAAAGTTGGTAATGTGAAATAATTTACACCACCATTTAGTATTTCTAACGCAAATACTTCAGTCCGAAACGTAAATGGGTCAAGCACGTAATATTAACGTAAAATAACCTCATTTCACAAACGATCTTGTATTCCTACATATATTTTGTAGACTATTTCGATCCGTGGTTCAGTCCTTACGTTAAGTAATAAACCCTAGATTTCCGTAAATAACTTGGTTCAGTTTTTAACATAAAAATCTCGTGCTAGAACGAAACATTTAATTTTTATAGAGGAAATATCTACATTAGATATTGCTGTAGTATTTGAAATGTGATCATGATCGATAAAAAAACATCTTATCAGATACAAGCACATATCATTTGTGCTGAGAACACATATTGTGTTACCACGCTCTTATTGCGTAAGAGTTCTTATTAAAGTTAACCTATCAAAGGAGAAATTCCTCCCAAAAAATACAGAAGCGTCAAGCCGACGCATTTTCAATATTTAATAAACAATTAGAAAAATCATGTTAATTATTGTTTTAGACAAATCGTGGTTATTTATAAGAGACAGGATTTCACTTATCTATATTAATATTATAAAGAGGAATAATTTGTACTTTTGTATGTATTGAAATTCTTATGGTAAAGGAAAACATCGTGATGCAACCTGCACATATCGGCGATAAAATTCAAAGATATGTGTCAAGTCAACCAATCTTCCCCAGCGTGGCTGACTATGGCTTAGTCACCCTAAGTTACGGCTCCGAGCTCCTTAGTGGGGACGTATAGGGAGCTGTTGATGATGTATTTAAATAACTCAAAAACTACAGGGCCCATTTAAAAAAAATCACCATCCATAAGCTATGTTATCAGTGAGTAACATAGACTGTTTTATATTGTTTATTTTTTATTCCACCCGGGCGAAGTCGCGAGCAACAGCTAGTTACTTATACATTTACAGTTGCTTGAAGAAGCTTATTTTAATTTGTGGACGCGCTGACTAATTGGATTGATAATGGTTGATTATTAACAACTTTCTGGTTTCTTGTAACGATCAGAAGTCTCGGTGACAGTTTTATCAAGACATGAATGAAAAACAAAAATTAGTGAAATTGTGTGATGTCACACAATGACAGGCATATTGTAGTAAAACTTGTATATAACCATACAAACCAAATTCTGTGTATTTATTTTAGTCGACCAAAATTGATTTAATATTTGGAACTTGTTTGAACAAGTTATTTTTTTAGATAATTGTAAACTGGTTACTGTTTAGGTAAGTTTTGTCTAGATTTTGAAAACAATTTTATTTTAATAAGATGGGGTTATGAACCTGAAGTTAGAACTTATTAGAGTTACCAATGATGAAATTAAATAAAAATATACCGGTACCTTAAAGTGGGAAATTATTGTCCAATGTTTGATCAAGGGTTGATTACATTTTTTAGTATGATGAGATCAGATGCGAGATGTAAGAGATATTGTACCGTTAGTATTAAAATCTACAACCGTTTTTTTATTGATTACTCTACAAAATATATATAATACAGTATGAAAAACGGAAACATAAAGTAACAAGTAAGTAGATGCTCACAAAAACATTTGAACACAAACCAAAAACGTACCTACAACTATAACATTTTAATGAAAATAGTAAAGTTTTACGCAAGGTAGGTAGGCGTTCCAAGCGACGTAGAACCAAATTCCGTTATATTTTTTTAAGTATTCAAAGATTTAAATCTACAAAACACTTTCTCTTTTTTCCACACAATTAAGAAAACTTCGCTAATTAATACTACTATTCTATGAGACTTTGGGTCATAATTTGCAAGCGCGGGATATTTTTAGGGTTAGGTAACTAAAAAATACTGCAAACTTACATGACTTTTTATATCCTGGCGGTTTTCTAATGGTCGGCTTATAGATGCTTCGGGTCCCGAAACAGACGGCGATCTAGAGATATACCTATTAGAAAGCTTCCTCGCAAAATTACTCTTGAACTCCTCACATCTCATTATAGAATCCACTGATTTGTTAAAATCATCGTCCTTTATTTCAACGATCGTTTCCGAACTCGTTGCGAGCATATTTTATTAAAATTCAACATAGGCTGATGAAAACATAAGGTCGTGTATTTTAAATTTAACGGCAAACTGCGCACGTTCGCTTCACGGACCAACTCAACCGTCAACGATCGCGGTAACAACAATACTGAGTAGTGAGTAGCTGCTAGCTGACGAAATGAAATGAATAGCCTGCAAAACCCTTCCTCGATATGCACTTGAAGAAGTCAATTGTAGACAATACTATTCTTCTTGGCATGGGATATAGTTTTATTTATTTAAAGAAAGATCTTAATTAAAAATTAATAGTAGTCAATTATTTTTTTTAATCCCTTCGCTTTTGCCTCTAAAATAGTTGTAGCGCCCTCTTTTGACACATTTCTTTAAAACCGTTCAGATCTTTGACACTGTGAATGTAGTTTTATTGAGTTCTAAAAGAGGGCGTGCAATTTAATTTTTAAACATGAAACATGACACAATACTTCTTTTGTATTCGGGGACTTTCACTAAATTTTTCTTCGATACCAATTTAAATACATTACAATATTTATAGAGGATTATTAATTTATAGGATCTCGTAAACACTTGAGCACTTCACACTTATCGGCAGCATCGTTGTACGCGAGAATATATTTTATCAGTCAAGTACGAAGTGTAACAATAGAAATAAAAAAACAAAAAATATGAACATACACTATATTCAAAATAATCTTACGCGACTGAACATAAAAACTACGATTTTTATATTAAACTGTATTTGGTATTAATATGTGACAAAACAAGTATGATACAAAGTTTAAGAACAATGAAAAAAGACAAGTTGAAAATGTAGAAATTGCACAAAAACTTGGTGTCTTATATCTAGTACTATAGAGGTCTTCAAAAACAAATATTTTGTTTATATTAGTTACACGAAAAACATTTGCCGCAAAAATATAAATCGGTCACCATGGGGACAAATACTATGTACTAAGAGAGCACACATAACGTTTCTGATTGGGGGAGAAGGTAAGGGTTTTAATTTTAATTGCAGTGAAAATTATTCAAATATAATTCAAAAATAATAATATTATATTGACATCAAAATAGAGACATGCGACAATACAATTGTAAGTTCGAAATCCACTATAAAGCCCTTCATACACTAAGAAATGCAGTTTTAAAACTAAAATATTTTTATTATACATAATGCTGAATCTTCGAAGCAAATTATAAGTCAGCACAGAAGTAGTGATAGAGTTTTGCTTTGCTTTCTTAAAAATCGCAGTAACTTCTCTCACAAGTGATCCTACACCGTAAGTACTAAATAATAATTTACTTGCCTTTTAGGCCATTTTTAATTTAACATATTTTCTGACAGAAAGAACTGATAGTACATTACAAAGCTAGACTTTTGCGATATTTTATTGTGCAAGTCGCTTAGCGTTTAAAATTGGCAATTCAAGAAAATTGTCATCGCCTTATCCAGGGGTGGCGAACTTTTATTATCAAAGTAGCATTTTTCAATACATCAAATATGACTGATCATTTCGATTCCATTGGAATGACATCGCGTTCCCTTTTTATATAACATCTATTTCATACTTTTTCTTAATTTTTTTTTTTATAATGGAAGTGTCTAAAATGTTGTGTCGTATATTTTATGGCACATATGCCAGTAGTTCGCCATCTCTGGATTAGTGTACGAAAGGCCTAAAAAGTTAACATTTATATAAGATGGTCGATGCCGGGCTGGTCTGACTTAGCGGATGGCGCGCCTAAGTTAGAAGGCTCTTGAGGAGTAGCAGCTTGCTCCAAACTCTTCAGATTGTTCTCGAACTCCACGGGATCTATGAATTTCTTTCTAGGGAACGGCGGTGGGCCAAGAATTGCCTTCACATCTTCGAAGTTTAAAGTTTCCTTTTTTAAAAGTTCTTCAGCGAGCTGCAATAATAATTTATTTAAACTATACTTTAAAATATAAATATTATGTGCTTACAAGCGAGCAAGCAATAATGTTACGGGCTATTTATTTTTATTACAAGGTACATTGTAATTCTGTGGTTATCAGTGTCTTATAAAACTATACACTGTAAAAAGTTTTAATGTAGGATATTCTAAAAAAATATCTTAAGATCAACAAATGTTGAAAATTAATGTAGTTTTAGATAAAATATCAAATAGTATGTAAATCAAAAAATATTTAATATTATGAAATAGATATTTCTTAATTATTCTTTAAATTAAATTTGCTTTCCTTTCCATGTGTTATTTATACTTGCGGTTTAAAATGATACTCACAGCGATAAGTTTGTCTTGATTTTCCCTGAGGATACCTTCAGTGCGATAATAAGCGTTTGCTATCAACTTTCGTGCTTCAAGATCGATGAGGTTCTTCAGTTTGTTGCTGAACGGACTCTTGCCGGTTTCTTTGTCGGGGAACGACACCAGACCGACCTCCGGTGACATGCCATAGATCCTCACCTATATACAAACACTAATATTATAAATGCGAAAGTGTTGATAGATAGATGTTTGTTAGACTTTGTAGGCTAAACTGCTGAACGGAACTCGATTTTGTCATAAATATAGAGGACAGTCTTGAAGAACACATAGGCTTTTGTTTTTTGAATACCACGCGGACAGAGTCGCGGGTGAAGGCTAGTGTTTAATAAATAACAATAAGATCCACGGTCAATACTGGATGGGACAGTTTTTTTTTAATTCTATTTATTGGAAATTTAAATTTTTTTCTATGAATGTTGTGTTTGCTAAAAAAAACACTGTTTATATTTGTAATTAAGTAAGATTTAACCATTAGATTGCGGGTTATAATTCATTTTGTAAACAAAAAAAGTGGTTATTTGTATGAAAACCGTTAAAGTTAGATATATGCTATCATGGACTTTTCTGTAGAACTTTTTGAGATCTACCTTTCTTTTATACAACATTTTTATATACCTCGAACGGTTTAGGCAGCGTAATCCGAGAAAAGTTAAAGTTTAGTGATTATTTAACGCCGGCATCTAGAAACACGCTGTTTATTAATAGTTCCTACACATAAGTAATAATAAAATATAGCCTATGTTACTCACAGATAAATTACCTTTCTGACGGTGAAAGAATTTTTAAAATCAGCCGATTAGTTTTTGAGTTATTTCAATACATACGAAAATACAAATCTTTTCTCTTAATAGTATTAGTATAGAAGTGTAGATATGTTAACGTGTTTTGTTGGCAATATACATAAATGAAATAAATGTGATAATATACCTGAGCGTAGGCGATCTTGGTAACTTTTTCCAGGTCATTTTGCGCGCCGCTCGTAACAGAGTTGAATGTTATCGCCTCCGCAGCTCTCCCGCCCAGCGCCATACACATGCGGTCGAATAACTGCAAATAGTTTAGAAATCATTAAAACACTTTGTTTTTATAACTTTCATGGATGTACGAGTAGTAAGGGGGGAGGCGAAAACTGATAAATATATGTATTATTCAAATTAAGGTTCCTAGAATCCCTAGGGCCTGTCCCACCAAATTATAAATTGTCTGATAACAATCGAACGTGTAAAATATGTGATGAAAATGTCGGATTTCATTTGACAGTGACGTCATTTTTAAATTCTCTGAGCCTCTACCAGCCAGTGGTGGGACTGGCCCTTAGTTCCGTGTAGTTAACTCAAAAGCGACTTGTCATGTTTGACAGCATTCTTTGAATTATAAGATTTTACTAGTAGATCTCTTTTGATATATATGTATTGTACAACGAAATGTACAATCCAGGTGAAAGGCATACCTCTTGTTTGGAGTACAGTTTCTGGTCTGATCCCGTGTACTGCGCGAAGCCGAGTGCGAGGTTGGTACGAGGCACGATGGTGACTTTGAGGAGTGCCTCCGTGTGCTCCAGCAACCAGCCTGTGAGAGCATGCCCCGCCTCGTGGTACGCTACCACTCGCTTCTCCACTGGCGACAGCGCGTGACTTCGCTTCTCTGTACCACCTGTTTACACTCACATGTTTATATACATATATAAAACGCTAATCTAATATAAAAAAAAAGCGTAAACACACACTACTTTGTGACATAGGATGTCAGTAATTATTGTTTTTGAATAATACTTTCTTTAATAAAAAAAAAACCTTTCAACGCGTTTTAAGCAATATTATTTCACGCTATTAAACTTAGGGGGTAAATAAATTGGAAAAAACTTTTATGACCATAAACTACAAGTTGCCAACATCAAGACAGCAAGGTTGCCATGATTGTCATTTATGCATTTGCAATTGAAAATTTCACAGTTGTAAAAAATTAAATATAGTTTTAGCTCATATAAATACGTCTAATTATTGCACCGCGAGTCATCTGTATAGTACCAGTCCGGAATAAATAGTGCTACCGAAACGTCGTCTATTTTACCCTTGGACTCACACACGAATGCTAGTTCACACAATTGTACAACTTTACTATTCTGTCCCAGTGATAACGTTACGCTAAAACATTTACAGCCTTACAAATAAAGGCGCTATAAAGTTAAACTTAGGAATAAACTGAGTGTAAGCAAATTCTGGTACAAATTTTGCTAATACTCAGTTTATTCCGAAGCTTATTATAACCAATTTGTACCCACGAGTGAAATCAATCAAAAAACCACGGCGTAAACATAGTGAGATACTTTTTTAATTTAAAACATGACAAAATTAAGTTAAAAAGCCATGTTCCTGCATTTTCAGGGTTTTGTCGTCTGTCGCTTACGACTCGGTCAGCGCAGAATTTAAAAATGAATAAGGTAGCCTATAACATTCCCGCAATATCAGCTACCTTCCAGTTAAAATCCCATATAAATTAACAAATATCCAAATTTTATTAATTTTACTAGTACCAAGTCGCTGAAAAATGTTAATTTTATTACAAATATAGATTTAAGGCTGTTGTTTGTCACGGAACACTTACCTACGACTTTTTCAATAGCGTGCTGCAAATCCTGTGCGCGTACGATATTCTGTTTGTTGGTGGCAGCGCGTAATGCTGCCTCGTTGCATACGTTAGCGATATCCGCACCGCTGAACCCAGGTGTCAAATACGCCAAACTACATACCAAAAACAATACCTCACATTTAAGTATACGTTTTGTAATACATACACTTATCCACGGTTATTTTTTAAATACCAGAAATTGGTAACTCGGATACTTTTTTGTTTTTTGGTAACATTTTGCCTAGGCAATGCTAGTAAACTAAATATGAAGTAAATAATAAGTATGATTTTATGATAGATGAAAACATTGACAATAAATCTAAAAATATTACAAAAAACAATTTAAGAAAGCGTTTCTTACAAATTTAAAATAGATGTTAATATATAAAAAAATGTACAAGATATAAGAAATGGATGTCTATCACCAACAAACTGTTGTGCAGTTTGGCGACATTATTTTTAAACATTATATATTTTCTTGTGTAAATAAATAAAGTAAATAAAAAAATTAAACATAAGTGTATGATCCTAAATGTGTAGTCATTACATAATTTTTAATTAACAATTATGAAGTATTTATTAATATGGCCGCAGCGTGGTACAGTAACCGTGCGGGTAAATATTGAACACTGTATCTATTACAACAAACCAAAAATTAGGTTTTACTATAGGTTTTTTAATATTCATGACTACCATCCGCAATAAATAGTTTTTTGTGTTAATAATCAACTAACCTTAGCGATATTCCAGGTTAAGTTAAGATATACTAAGACTTACCGCTTTAGATAATAAGGTGGCAGTTCTTCTAACACGATGCTTTTACAATGCCGCTCGAAGATTTCTTCCCGCTCTTGTAAAGTCGGCAGATCGATCAAGATGTGTCGGTCGAAGCGACCCGGTCTTAACAGAGCCTGCAAATTAAAACATATAAGCCAATTATAATTGAATTACAATAAAAAATCTATTGAATTAAATGCCTTTTAAATGTTAGAAGCTAGACGATAGTGCTTTTACGATAAGCATTTTGCTGTACGATTTTCTATTCACTAACTGGGAAGGAAATTTAACTCTTTGTTTTATGGTCGGTGGTATTTTGTACAGTCGCGGAAATGCGCGGTGTTTCACATAGTAAAATTGACTTGTTCCTCGCATCGAGACATACTCCGTCTTTTACCAATAATTAATTAGGTAAACAAAATTAAGGGACAAGCATAAAAATAAATTAGTCATGTACAGTTGCGGAAATCCGCGGAGTTCCTCTTTAGACAATTTGCCTTGTTAATTGCAACGAGACAAATTTGGCTTCTTCCTACAAATAACTTACTAGATAGATAGAATGATTTTGTGTATAGACACAATTTAAGCCGCGCTGTATTAATATTTGTTTCGCGTCTCGTTTCAAACATTTAAGCGATTGTAGCTTTTGAGGTGAAACACTGCTAGTTTCCCTGATTGTACCACTGACCAATAAAAGCTGGGTACTATTGCTTATTTTTCCTAAACATACATGTACAAACATTCGAGTGACTATAGTTTGACTATAGTTAATAATAATAATTTATTTTATTCATGTAATAGTACATTACACATATATTTCCATTGACAGAAGAATTAAATTTTACTTTAAACACACAGAAAGAAAAGAAAAAACTAAGTTGGACCACCGCTAGTTTTCCTGAGTATACCTTATCGAGGACGTCAGCTCGGTTCGTAGAGGCGAGTACGACGACGCCGTCCCGGCTTCGCATGCCGTCCATTTCTACAAGCAGTTGGTTGAGTGTTTGCTCGCTTTCGCCGCCGCCGCCTCCTCCTGGTGCCCACGACCCGGCGCCCGAGGACCGCGCGCGACCAACAGCATCCATCTCATCTATGTAGATGATGCATGGTGCACGCGACGCAGCCTCTTTGAACAAATCCCTGTAATAAGTCTCACACTTTAAGCTATCCTACCAATGTTGTACTATCATATCACCTATTGGCAATTCATTTCATGATCGTCATCACCAGTTTACTATATGTCCCCAATAAAGGGCTCGAAGTCTACCCTAATAGGTCTAGGGGTCTAAGGTCTAGGACCTAGTCCTTAGTCAACCACGCTAGCCCAGTGCTGGATGGTTGATTTCTCGCATATCTTTGATTTTTTTTTGAAGATATGTGCAGGTTGCATCGCAATGATCTTCATCGTAATAACGTCGAGTGAAATGTGGATGGAATAATTAATTTAAGTGAAATGGAATAAAAAAAAAAATCTCCTGCAAAACAAGTCTGTCTTTTGTAAATGTTACTTTGATTTACAAAATTATAGTTAAAACCGCAGATAAGCAAAAACATTTATATTAAACACTATTATAAACGACAGGGAAAGGTAAATTTATAAGGTGTACCTGACTCTAGCAGCTCCAAGGCCTCCAATCATTTCAATGAACTCGGAGCCGTTCATAGAGAGAAAGGGTACGTTCGCTTCAGTTGCTACAGCCTTCGCCAGCAACGTCTTGCCGCACCCCGGCGGACCCAGCAAGAGCGCACCCTTCGGCACCTGCAACATACCACATACACTTTTAGAAATTAGGAAATTCCCTCCCTGACTCTCTTTCGATATGTTCAAACTAATAATCATCAACAGCTCCTATCCCCACACTGAATATCTCGGAGCATACTCTAAGTTAGGGGTGACTGCGGTTTGACTTCACATATATTTTTGAATTACTTAACCAATATGTGCAAGTTGCATCATAATGTTTTCCTTAACAGTAAGAACGTCATATTTATAAAATCAATGTTTTTATGTATTCTTAGTTAAATTCGATATAATGAGCATTTACAACATTTTTAAAATTCATCAAACCTTGGCTCCGAGGCTCTTGTAATGTTCGGGTCTCTTTAGATAATCCACAAACTCCATGACTTCAATCTTGGCCTCCCTAAGGCCTGCCACATCATCAAACTTCACCCCCTTGCCTTGTCCACTCATTGAATCAACAAGAGTAAATTTGGCTCGACTTAACTGGCTCTGAAACAATATAATTACAGAGTATAAAAACAAATAGAAATCAAAACATATTAAATCACATCATCTTTCGCTTTTCTTGAATTTTAAAGATGGCTACACTATTATAAAGAGGAAAGATTTGTATTTTTGGATTTATCTTTGTTTTAGAAAACATTAAAAACTATACTAGGATGATTTCAAACATTCTTGCACAATTTAAAAGTTATGTTATCACAAAGTAACAAAGGCTATTTTTACCTATTTTTTTGAATGCAGACGAATTCACGAGCAATAGTTGGTATTTCTATAAATAAATACTTACAAATCCTCCAAGATTTATATTCATCCTCATATTCTTACTGGAGTAGAGCAGAGAGATGACCAGGGCTGCAATCAGCAGAGTCGTGATCACCTTGCTAGCCAGCCCACCGTTTCTATCATATATGACTCGCACACCTACAAAAATATTCATATTACCCAATTTAGTTGACTACACATTAGTGTCTTCTCTTCATCTAAATTAAGATGTATTTCAAAAGTTCATTCATTGCTTGTGTCATGGGGGTTATTTTTGATTGACAAATATTACATCACCTTCTTTAACACCTAGGCTCTTTTCAACATTTCGAAGCTTCTCCTCGAATCTGTGGATATCACCGATATTCATGTGGTGTACTCGATGTGTTGCCTGAAAGAGAAATAAGAAGCAATGGATAAGCAAAAAATTGTATCACAAGACTATACTATTAAGAATCTTAAACACTTCCCTTTATAAGCATCACTTAATAATTTAAGTTCCGTATTTGAAAGTAGTTAGTGGATCCACAAAACTTATATTATAAAGGTCCCTAAGTAGCAAACACTGAGTGCTTCAAATTACATTTGTACTTACCCTTCTCCCCTTAACAATAGCACCTTCATAAAGAATTATAGTAACTACTTCTATATCAGGTCTAACAATAAGCTGCTCCACTTCACCCTTGGCCAACATGTTGTACACAAATTCATTCCATGATACATATCGGACAACCTGGAAGGAAACATTCATCAAAACTGTTTAAAATTTAGCCACAATTTGGCTATAATAGCTCATTGTTATGTATTTAAGAGGAGTATATACTATCCCAACCCCAAGGGGTGATGATGATGAATTTAGATAGATAGGAAAATGTTTCAACACAGCAACGGAATACATCTTTATTTAACAGCTGATAAAGAACATTGACTATTTTTTTTCTATTAAATTAGTGAAGTAAAACATTAAATTTTAAATTATTAGTACTAAAATTATTGGGGCTCTGTAGGTAATAGTTAAAAGAAGTGAATTACATTTAAAATGTCATAACACTTTTAGAATATGTACCTCATTTGGAGAAGTAGTATCACCAGGCACCATTAGAGTGCTCATTATGATGAAAATGCTTGTCGCAATCATCCAAAAAGCAGCTTTCATGAGTAATGAAGACAAAGTGGCATCTTCTTGTTTCTTCTTATCATTTTTATTCTGAGAACAACGATATTTAAATATGTAATACATCAATGTTGTCTGTGTGGAATTGAAAAAAACACAAAGGGAGTAGACTACTTGTTCTTCCAGACTATCCTCTACATCTAAAGCAAATTCTAACATCCATCCATCTAATCTTTCATATTTCTAACAGTAAAATTGACAAATATAATCATGCATATTTATGATACCAAAGGAATATACAATTATCTTAACTTTTCAAATGTATCTTTACATTATCTGATAAAAACAATGTTATTTTAGTACATCTTACCTGATCTTTATCATCATTTGGTTGACTGTATTTAGCAGAACTTGTATGTATGCCCCGAGATGGATTGCTGAATAGAGTTGATATTTGTGTCAAGTTTGATCTCCTGAACAGTGCCAGAGCAGCTTTATATTCCGCATTGAATTTTACTAATTGCTGTAAAGGAAACAACATTGTTTTATAGAATTATTTAAGGTCCTTAAATTTTGTGATATCTGAAAATTTCAACAAAACAAAATTTTATGATAATAAATATGACCCCCCTTGTTTGACTATTCTTCAAAAAACCTTGCTTATATAGACAGGCCTGTTAAAAGTGAAAAATCCTGTATTTTTCTTATACACATAAAAATACTACATGTACAATTTCATGGTGCAATATGATGTAACAAAATGTTTTACTTACCGGATGCCTGGATTTGTGTGTTAAATTATGTAATGTGGATAAAGATGAGCACAACTTAGTTAGATTAATGCTACAATGTTTGTTTATTTGCCTTTCTAAAAAGCCACTTTTTGAATTGCAACGCACGTTTAATTGTATTTTAGTGGCAGTAAAGGTAGATAATCTCTTCATTGATAGCATGATTGAATTATTAGAACTAAAACTTCAGTTGCTAGTCTTCCTGTTCATAAAAATCTATTAACAAATTACAATTTTGTTTTGAAGTATATTTTGATTTTGAGGTTACGTTTAGGTTACAAATGACGTTGACATTGACAGAGGTCATAGAGTAGAGGATCGTGACGTCAGCGTTAATCAGCATTTTTCAAATCTAGCCCGGAGAAATCTTTAATTTATCTTACGTGAAACATTAAATATCCGATCAATAACAAATTTAGAAAGAGACAAGCATAAATAAATATAAAAGCGTACTTTCAATGGCAAGAAGTATATTTATTTCCATACTCTTTGGTATGCATGTGTGATGTCATTTTGACAAAGGATGACAACTGTCAAATCGATCAAGCTATTTTTAACAAACTAGCTTAGACTTAGATTTTATTATTATTATTTTAGGGATGTGTACAGTTTTCATGTTTGCAATACAGTTGTTTATTAAACAAATATTGCATTATTTTAACATAAAAATGCATTTACTTAGTGTGTAATTGAAGTGTAATTGCGATTTGTAACACAAAGTTCGTGTAACGCCACGCCTTCAGCGTCACTGTGGATTGTTGATTTAAACATGTCTCCATTTTTCTATAGTCTTGACTACAGAGGAGTACACATTTTACTATCACTTGTTCAAGCATAAAGTTTTTTTTTTTAATGCTTTAAGTTTTATGCTACCGATTTCGATTATTTGTAACTTTAATTGAGTAAAAATGAAGGTACTTCTTGTTGTGTCACTGTTTTCTTTGAGTCTGGCTTATGATAAAGGTGAGTTCAATGAAACATACAGAAATGTTTTTATTTTTCATTAATTACCTGCTGTTTACATAATATGTAGATTTTTTAAATTAAGTATTAAAGTTAAATTAATTTTTATGCAGCATCTTTCTATGGAGCCAGTTATATAGCATATCCTCTCCAAGAAGCCAAAGGAGCCACAGACATTAGCTTCAAATTCCGCACCCATTTGTCAGATGCTTTACTTATTCTTGCTGCTGGGAAAACTGATTACTGTATGGTAAGTAGTTTAAACTTTATTTTCATAGCTATAAAAAATGAAATGTTAAAGCTTTTTTTTCATACAGTTTGGTTCAGCATGCAGCAACTATTTGTTTCATGTTTAATTGTAGATTCGTCTGGAGAGTGGCCGTTTAAAGCTTCACATAAACCTTGGTGCTGGTGAAAGTGAACTGTCATCACCTAAAGGGATTCATTTAAATGATACCCAGTGGCATCATGTCAGTATCATCAGACGGGAAGCAAATCTCACAATGAAGGTATGTATTATGAACCACCTCTAGTTCTGATCCTCAAAACTTTTAGAAATAAAAACTTTGAACATTGTACCATGTCCAGCTATTACTTTTTGGTGACAGTATGCCCTTTGTCCTGTATCTGCCTACTCACATATAAGTTATGGATGTATAGCATTAACACTTTCAATGCCACTACAATTTCAGTATCAAATATACTTTACATACAAGGCTCTGGCTTTGTATGTGTTATTAGATTAATTATTCATAAATTAATGTTTGATAATGTATACACAAACTTTGGAATTTCTTGTGCATATATCCATTGTAGTTTTTATAATTATCTTAGATTGATGAAAGCACAGTGAAGAAACGACTTCCTGGACGGTTTTTTGAGCTAAACATACACTTTGGAATATTTCTTGGTGGACAAGGAGACTTCTCTGAATTGTTTCTTGGCCATATGGAAAATTTTCGTGGCTGCATAGAAGATGTAAGTATTGAACTTTTAAATGTCACAAAATGTATGTATTTAATGTAATAAATGCTTGTTTAATTCTGTTCAGTTAGAGTTGCCTTAACTGGCATTGTTCTTTTACATATATGACAATCCTTAGAGGATCTCATATGACTTGAATAGAAGGATGATTGTTACATATATCCAAAATGGCTAAATGGATCTTGATGAAATTTGGCACAGATGTAGAACATAGTCTGGAAGAATACCGTACTTGCTTATTTTTTAATTCCATGCAGATGAAGTCATGGGCTGCAGCAGTCTAATTATTTCTTATAAAAAGGGGAAGAGTAAAAGGCAATTTACTGTAACTACTGTGAACAAAGGCATATGTTGAATGTCATGTTACTTGCATTTATTGTTTTCATATTTTTCTCTAGGTTTACTATAATGGAGTTAAAATTATTGAGAAAGCTCGAAGCCGCAGTGGTTCAGTGCATGTGGAAGGAGTCACTTGGAACTGTGCTCCGGAGTTTGACGCCGACCTAAACTCCGACATAAGTTTCGTTGATGAAGGCGCTTATTTAATTTTACCAAGGATTAATTCAAGAGCTGGTGGGCGGTAAGCCATGTTTATAAAACAATATTTTTCCTTTTCAGTGTCATCAAGAGTCATATTTAAAACATAATTTGTTTTTAGTTGGCAGATAGAGTTCAAAACAACAACCCCAAATGCTATAATCCTGTATAATTATGGTGGAGGGCGTGGTTCAGACTTCTTGGCAGTTGAGATCTTAGAAGGAGTGGTTCGTGTTAAAATGGCTAAGGGACAGATAATACACACAGTCAGAGTTAATGATGGCCAGTGGCATAAAATACATTTGCTCTTTAACCCATCTCTAATAGAGGTAAGTTCGCCTGCGTATTTTATAACAATTATTCATTGTATTTTACTGAGGAGAGGATTTAGCAAATGCTGTTATAAAATAAAATGTATATTTTATTGCCGTTAGGGTTGCTAGCATTTTTATTTGTCGTCCTTTGCACACGTTTCTATTGTACTTAATCGTATTATGTGTATTTTTGTATTAAAATAAAATGCTTTGGTTCATGAGAACTGTCAAGTATTGTAAAGATTTAAGTGCCCTGTAGAAAGTTTTAGTCACATTTGGCTTTTTTGTTTTTGTTGTGATTACATTGCTTTGCGCTTTTACCCTTAATTACGAGATTATAGATATATAAACATTAAGACAACAAAATGATTTTGTTCCTCTATCGATTATTATGCTATTTTAACATGTTTACCGCAAAGAAAACGCTTAGCGATTTTCATATTCATACCATACTCTGTGGTAAGGAATGAGTTAAAACAGTGCAGAGTGTGACAGACAGTTAGTGTGCAAGTTTTTATGACGGAAGATTTATTTTCTCGACAATTTTTCCCAGTTTACGATTCTAACAGCCAAATATTGAAATAACATTGAAATATGTAAAAGCGTATTAAATGATAAGGCCACAATGAAACTCCAAATTATGTTAAAAATTTGACATCGAACAGTTTGTAAGCGGCGCGTACAAAGCGAAGTGTTTAAAATTCGTTTCAGAATCCAGCCGTAAGAGCGGCAGTGTACAGCAGTTATTCAATCTTTAAAGATAGCTTTGCGAGTAAAATTATCCTAGAATTTAATGCTAAGTAGGAATAATTGCAATGCAGATGCAATCTTTACTTAAACATTGCTTGTCGTTGCGTTAGCTGTTAACCTAGTTTTAAAAATGAAGGCTCATTAGAGATTTCGCTTGGTCGCTAGTTTATAATAAACTATTTTCATTTCAAAAAATATATCAAGTAGGTATTGTATAAATAGAAAGAAGAGCTATTGGATTTAAACTTCTATTTAATTGGAATTTGAATTTTAATAATATTATAATGATATGCATAACGATAATATGTAATCCAAATTTTTTACATGTATTTACATAACAACTGTAACGTAAACCATATATCCTTGATAAATAAATTTTAGTATAATTAAGTGTACTAAATCTGATGCATAATTTTTTTTAATCCAGATGACCTTAAGTTGAGGAAATCTAGATTATAGGTCATATAGTTTGGTTTATGTTACATTAGAACTATACTAAAATAGTCATTCAAAATTTAGGCACGACGAGATTTAAGTATTCTAATAGCTATGTTAATAGTATAGAAGATATTATCTCATCTGATAAAATACTAAGTCGCTCTTCAAAGTAGGTCAAATAAAAACTAAAAAACGTAAAGTTCTCAATGACTTAAAAATTATTTACTTGTCATTTTGGTGCGAAAATAAGATGTATTAACGCGAAATATTGTTCCTTTTTTTATCCTAAAAAGGAAAATAAACTGTCTATCATAATAGTAATTTTTGTTGCATTCTCAGAAACAATTTGTGAACCTTTTTAATGAAACGTGTGCGAAGATCGTCGCGAACAACTACTTTTATATGCATTCTTTTTACAATAGAGTTGTTTCTTCATTTTGTTTAGCTATCAGTGGACAATATAGCGATGAGTACTCGCATAGAGAGTGGGGGTATGCGGTATCTGGATCTATCCGACTCTTTCTATCTGGGAGGGATAGAGAGTGAGAAACGACAGCGCGCTTTTGCTAAAGGCATCAAGGCTGCCGATTCAAGTATAATGGTAAGGTCACAGTAGTTTAATCTATTTCATATATTGTCAATGTATCGGCTACTTTAATGTATTTTTATATAAAATTTACAGGGTTGCATCAAGCCGATAGAAGTGGATGATAAATTGTATGGACTACCGAATGCAGTGGTGACTTATGGTGTTAGCCCTAAATGTGTATGGTGGTACCCATGCCACGCAAACCCAGCCAACCCCCCATGTCTGCCCAACGCTGTCTGCGAACAGCACGGCCTTGACCATTTTACATGCAAATGTGACTCTGAACTTTGTATAAACCCGGATTACGCTGAAAAGTATAAGGTGCGCTTTAAAATAAAGTTGGCACATGGGGCTATAGAGTTTTCTTATTGTTGACGAACCAAAACAAATTATATTTTCTCTCATTTGAGATATCAAATGGACTAAGACCTGCTAGTGGAATAGCTATAAATTGCTAATATAGCATAAACAAGCAATATTTAACAAAAAAAAATATCCTATTTACGACCTATTTTTATAATTTTTTCTATAAATATATATCACAATACAAGCAAATAAGGACCCAGTAAATGAAGTGTAATGTAAACTTTTCTCTCCAGGTGTTTTCTAAATCGAGTAGTGAACTGGAATTAGTTTCCTTGTATCCGCTGACAGTACAAGAGGGTGGGGTGGCGGTTATAACAACACAGAATATAGATGTGGTACTTGACCATCATAAGTATGGAGTACGCCCATCCGGTGTTGTGCTGCACGTTGCTCAATCTCCGATGCATGGACGAATCGCAGTTGATCTATCACTACAGAGAAATCTACCACAGTATGCGAATTACATCGATGCTGAAGGGAAATCTAAACAATTCTTTACACTCATGGATTTGTCCAGGGATAAGGTTAGTTTATATTCCTTTTGATTTTATCTAGACTAGGTGTATAGGAGAGTTTAATATTAAGGTTTTACTCAGAGTAGTTAGTTACAGAGTAGTTTTAATACCTATTTTACTTTTTTCGATTCTCTTTCAACTATAAGTAAGATAGTGGTCTTAAATAAGTGGCAGGCTGTAATAATGTTTTTTTAACATGTTCAACGCTAAATAATGGACTGAAGATTATAATTTTCTAAAAAAAAAATCTTTGTATCAAGGCATGTGTTGGAAAGGTTTTATGGTTTTGGTCAAATCTCCCATTATTAAAGCAATTGGAAGAGTATAATGAAAAACAAACAATTGATTTAACATTTTATGTTAGAAACAGTTATAATGTTACTATTATTATAAATGAGAAAGTTCAGATGGATGTTTGTTTGAGTTTTTAGCCTACCCACATGAATAGATATATGAACATATAGGCTACGTTTATTTTTCAATTATACGCGGATAGAGTTATACGCAAAGTTAGTAAACTAACATTGTGTTTCCAGGTGCGATATGTGCACGACGGCTCCGAGAATCATCAGGACGCGATAGTTGTGGACATGGAGCTGGTACCGGAAGCGCGCTTCACGCTACCCAACTACCTACAGGGTCGGCACGCGTTTGCATTACACGTTAATGTCACTCCGGTTAATGACGCGCCGGTACTGAACCTGCCGCCGGGAAAAGTGTTACGACTCACACAGGTCTGTTTATAAGAGAATTATAAAAGCAAATTTCCTTAATACCATGTATTAACCAACTTCAAAAATCAGTTCGCAATTTGATGAAGAATAGCTGCCATTTGGTCCGACTATTTTCAAAATTAAAACCATTAAATACACTATTCAGAGTTTTTCTTAAAAAAAGCGTACCAATTTTTTGACTTGAAGTTTGCTTCATTTATATTTTTTTGTTAATTTTTAAACTATGTATATCAAATTGTAACTTATTAAATTTACTACAATTTGATCTTCTTTTATTAAAAACGAATCAAAACAGACTGCATATTTGCTTTTATAATACTGATATGTAATAATTATTATTAAAAATCCTTACTTTTGGAGTAGTAATTTTTTGTATAGTGCATTAGCAGTTAGTTTTTAGAAAATTCTGTTTGATTTGTACATCTTACTTCAAAATCACATGTAATTAATAAACACATTTGTAATTTCGAAAACATGACAGAAATCATTTTGATTTCAACAAAACGTATTTTCTCATTGTTTTAGGTTGCCTGTTTTTTGTTGATCCGTTTTTTTTTTATTTATCGTTTTTTTTATTTCAGTGCGGCAAAGCGATTGGATTTGTTTATTTGGGTTGCTTATTGTAGTTGCATGCTTTGTTTGCTACAAACCTGCTGAATAACTGCATCTAACAAATTAACATTGAGTGAGTATTAGTTGTTTATTTTTATCATACAAAATTATTTTTAATAAACCTTGAATGAAACAAAACATTTTTGACAATTTAGGGAAATCTGTCTTCTGAACTAGTTAAATAGATGCACCGTAACAGTTATTATTCTAAATTTTATAAGCGCCCATAGCGTAACGGTCAAAACAACGGATTTCCGATCATAAACCATATTCTAAAATAAGTCTAGAGTTTAGTTAATGATTAAAAATGATTCGTGAATAAATGAGTTTTTTCTATTAAAAATAATAATTAGAATAATGCTATAATACTTTCACTGTTACTTTAACTATTTTTTCAGTTTTACTCAATTTTATGCATGATGGTTAATCCAAGTATATTTTAGTCTACAATAATTAATGCATTCTTTAGATTTTAGAAATTATACAGTTTAGCATGGCATGTCAGATTACTTAGAATTTATAGTACTAAAACTTAAGAAACATTACTTGTATTTTTAACTAGGTGTGACCTACAAAATACTAGCATTTATTGGCCTATATCCTACATCTATGGTAATTTTCAATCAAGATTTGTTGAACCGTTCTGGAGATATCTAGTCAACGTCCGTCCATCAAAACATTCGCATTTATCTATACTACTATAATAAAGCGTAAACATACACTTCTTTGTTGCCTAAGATGTCAGCAATTACACCATATTTTTTAATAATTCTTTCTTTAATAAAAAGCCCTAAACTTACGTCACGCCTAAGGCTCTATATTTTCACGACATTAAACTTAGGGTGTAAACATTTTGGGTAAAAACCCTAATGTAGGAAAGAGACCATAAGTTGCTGCCAACATCAAGAAAGCTAGATTGCCAAGCTTTGTCATGTCATGTCATTTTGACATTTGCTATTGATGATTTGACAAATGTAAATAATAAGATAAAATTTTTATAATTTCATGCGGATGAAGACGTAAGGGAACAGCTAGTACTATATGTTTTGTTATTTGTACAGGGTACACGTAAAGTTATAACATCGGATTTACTAAAAGCGGAAGATCCTGACACTGCACCTGAGGATTTACTGTACACTGTACTGCACGGCAGGAATGAGCCAACCAGGTACTAATCATTTAATTACAATTTTTGGTGTAGAAAAAAAAAACGGGCGTTAGGTGCGTGATGTATCCGACTAAATTAATTATGTACAATAATTGGTATAACCTGACAGTTACATTTATTATTTTTATTATTTATTGAAAACATTACATGACACAAATTAAAAAATATGCACAAATATGGCCCCGCAAAAACCATATAATTGGTTTGTCCGCGGGTGCGCTGGTTTTTTTTTGTGTAGAATTACATAAAATACATACATATATAAATAAAATATTATATATACTGTATATAAATAAAATATTATATATACTGTATATAAATAAAATATTCTGTTCAAGGGCTATTATCAAAAAGATGGCTTTCCAAATGTTTAACAAATAGTTTAAATTTTGAATTTAGATTTGCTATTTGTATCACTATTTTATTGCAATCCTACATTTCTCCTATAAACTTAGTTTAACACCCTTCAGCATATCCCCGGACCCCCTCCTGTAGAATTGGGCAACAAAGTTTTCTTCCACCAGGTTAATAATGATAATAACTATCTTCTGTCATTTCAGTCGTCCTCCGTTCATGTCTCCTTTCGTATAGTCCATACATCTCTATCTAGTCCCCTAACTCAACCGTTTATTAAAAAAAAAAAATGTAAACTGTTATTTTAGAGGTTTCCTATACATTTTATTATATTGCTAGGTATACTATGTCTCTGATATATTTGGTATATGTCAATTAAGTTGATGTTCTCTGGAATGGTTAATGGTAAGATATATAGGTTATCTGGCTTTTATCTGGAATTCCTCGTGCAATTAGAAAATCATATAGTACCTTATGTTTAGACTATGATATATATCTGTATCGAATTTAGTCGAGATCTGTTGAGCCGTTCTAGAGATATTAGTAACATTTGTGTGAATTTTAGCAATATGCTAGTGTTTTAAATCAAACAGTAATTACAAGTGCAATCTTTAAAATTTGCAGCGGTCACATAGAAATGTCAGGTCAGCCCGTGGATTCATTCACACAGCACGATATTGACGCGGGCGTTGTATCCTACGTGCATGGCTCTAGTGGGGATAAGCAGTTGAACAAAACATCCCTGAGATTGACGTTACAGGTAACTTTTGGACATATTTACCTACAAATGCATATCTGTGTGTTTTTATTAAAAAAAAAAACTAACTGTGCTTTTGTAGACAAACCAAGGCTCTACACTTGTTTTATAGAAATCGAATTTGTAAAAGATTAGTTTTTGCACGCGACTCCGTCCGCGTGGAATAAAAAAACAACAGTCAAGATCCATGTGTTTTTCACACAATCCACTACATCTATACCAAATTTCATCGAAATCCCTTGAGCAGTAAACTGCTTAAATGCTTAAAAACTAGCATAAATGCTAAAAACTAATCATCAATATGTTCATTTAAATTTTCGCATTTATAATATTATGATGTTTATTTATTAGTTCTCCGAACCATGTTAAGGTTGGCTTTAACAGATTTCTAAATAAACAATTTTATTTCAGGTATCTGACGGTATAGAAACCAGTGGTGCAAGTGTTTTGCGTATATCTATCGTGCCTTTACAAGTGCGTTTAGTAAACAACACTGGTCTTCAACTAGTGCATAATTCATATGCAATAATAACTGCTGACAATCTCACATTTACCACAAACGCTGAAGAAAGCAATGCACAAGTTCGGTGAGTAAATTTATAAGCGATTTTGTACATTCTTGTTAATCAAGTGTAAGATTTTTAATTTCATTCAAATTTAACTGATCTAATAATCACAACAGCAAATGTACTATATTTTAGTGAAAAAGTCTGTTTTTGGATCTCTCCCTTCACACACATTGTAATTAAAATACCCAGAGCTATCTTTGAGATCGCATAATGGGTTCCGGTTTAAATTAGTTTATTTCAACTGGCATCTTTACCTTGGGTCCGCTAAAGACAAGCTATTTCTTCATCCGCGAGAAATTATAAAGAGTAATCTATGCTAATATTTTGAATATTATTTGTATTTTTGTATGTATTGAAATAACTCAAAAACTACTAGGCCGATTTCAAAATGATATAACTTTGTGATGACAAAACAATTTTTAACATCCACCTAGTTTTTAAGTTTAACCCTTACATATAGAAATAAAAGTCAAAATACAAATTTTTCCTCTTTATAATAGTATAGATATAGATGTGTGGTGAAGAGACATGTAGATAAAAATGTATAATGTTTATTTATTCCATGTTTGTAATTTTACAGTTATGACATAGTAAAGCCGCCTCAGTTCGGCGTAGTGGAGAGATTGCGAGTGTTGGACGGCACTTGGCAGACTGTGGACTCATTTACAAGTGAAATGATCAACTTTGCTCGAGTGCGCTACATGCATCTATTAGGCAATCCCTCACATGATGAGTTCAAGGTTTGTTATTTACTTATAACTAGCTGTCGCCCGCGATAGTGTCCGCGTGGAATTTAATAAAAACAAAAGTAAGTACCGTATGTGTTCCCCCGGACAACAGAATTTCATCGAGATTCGTTCAGCAGTGTAAGCTACAATCAAACGAACATTCATTCATCCTCCAAACTTACGTGTTTATAATTTTAATAAGATGTTCATATATAGTAGCTGGAAACTTTAAAGAAACTAAAAAATTAAGTAAATCAATAAATATTTTTGTTTTACAGTTTAAAGCGTCAGTGGGTGCGATACGAACGAATATTCTGTACGATTTTCGATTGACCTTCATCAAACTTGAACTGTACCAATCTACGAATGAAGAGTTGGTATTAAATAACACGAGGGAAGCGTTCATATCGCCGTTGCATTTACGATTTCAAACGAGACCTATCTCTCTATCGGCCGATAGGATCTTATATACTATACTAAAGCCTCCGAAGTACGGCATCCTACATCTGTCGTCGGGCAAACATCATCTACAAATGTATGGCACTTTCACCCAACAGGATATAGATACAGACCAATTATGGTACAGATTACATAGACGGGCGTACTCACATATACATGATGAGTTTTCATTCGTCGTGGGTGCTAATGAATGTGAAAACGTCACTGGAGTGATGACAGTTCGACATACACCAAATTACATTACAACCGAACACTCTCAAGGCAGACTACATACTACGTTAGAAAGGTTACAAGTCATGGAAGGTTCCAGAATGACAATCCCGGCAAGCCATCTCAACTTCCGTACTGATACAGTAACAAATTTACTATTCAATATTACCCATGTACCTAGACACGGCAAAATCGAAGTTATCAATGATAATCTTAAAGTAATTCGAGATAATACGACATATTTTACTCTACAAGAACTTAATTCAGACCGTGTGTATTATTCGCACGATGACTCCGAGAGTAGACACGATTCTTTCCATTTTATGGCTTTGAGTCCTGAACCTGAAGATTTTCAATACGTCGGTGTGTTCCATATTGATATTATACTAAAGAATGATAACAGTCCTGTCCGTGTTAAAGAGAATATCTTCCATATAGTGCACGGCGGCGCGAGACTTATAACGGCGAGAGATTTAAGTTACACCGATGCCGATTTAGACACGAGACCGTCAGATATCATTTATACGGTGCAAAGATTTACAAAAGACCCACCTAACGGTGGGATATTCCGAGCTGACAATCCTTCAGAACAAATCGCTCAATTTTCACAAGATGATATTAATAAAAACTTAATATTGTTCAAACATCAAGGCAAGGAGTACGGTAAGATGGCTTTCTGGATATCGGATGGTTTGTTCGATGTGAATGGTAACTTGGAGATACAAGCGTCGCCACCTTTTATAAGAATGTATTCTACTAACGGATCTATTGTTGAAAATGGCAAAGCTGTTGTTATTACCGCCAGAGATATGCAGGTAATTTATATTAGTTTTTTTTTTTCAAATTATTTTGTCTGTTAATATTGATGTTTATTTATATTTATTTAGGTGGATACAAATATGAATTGCCTAGAAGAAGATATACGATACGAGGTAACTCAGGAGCCGAAGCACGGTACTATGGAAGTGGGAGAAGGTGTGGGCGCGTCTATCTTCACGCAGCTAGATGTGGTAGCCGGCAGAGTCGCCTACAGACATACGCAGCCTAATGTACCGAGTGATTGTTTCCGGTATAAGTATTTTTTATCTACTCCGTTAATTAAAGGCATTGAAAAAAAGCATTACTGGTTATCAAAAAAACATCATAATAGATCAATATTTATCATTTTAGATAAGTTAAGATTGATGACTTGATAAGACAAAGTTTAGATGAATGGATGGATGTTTTCTGCTTGCTACTTTTGTTTTTCTAAATGCCGCGTGGATGGAGTCGCGGGCCAAAGCTAGTACTAAAGTATTTTTCCTTTTTTTGTTGATGTAAATAGTAATTTAGATTTTTCTTTTTTTGCAGTTTTAAAGTGATGTGTTTGGACACCTGGGGCGAAGGCACATATCCTATTAAAATATTCCCATCCAGTTATTGGGAACCTTTACGAGTTACGACCAATAAACCACTGATTGTGGAGGAATCAACTAGTGTTAATATAACTAAGGAAGTTCTAGAGGTATTTGTACTGCAAATATTATAAATAAGTTATTTTGCAAATTAAAAATGTAATTTGAATTATTGATCCATAAACTATAATATGGAATACTTTAATTTGAGTAAACTTTACATAATACCTTCTTATTCGTTAGAATCGAGGATTTTGAATGCATTATTTGGGTTAAATTTTTATAGTGTAATCAGCGGAAAAAATGTATATACTTATTTTAAACAATGTACTAATTAAAATGTATATCAACAGGTGATGCATCCTCAAATAGAGCCATCAAATATAATATATCAAGTAACTGCCGGCCCTTATTACGGTTGGCTCGAAATTATATCAACCCCAGGTGTTGAACTAGAGAATTACAACGAAGAGCCCGTACATACTCGAGTATTTGATCAATCTATAATAAATGTTAACAGACTAACATATGTACAATCTGGTGTAAATCGTACAAGAGATAGAATCAAAATGGATGTAACTAACGGAATAGTATGGCTCAGAGGAGTAGAATTAACAATAATTATTATACCTGAACATTTTTATGCAAAAGCCATAAATTTAACTGTAGTAGAAGGTGCAGCGGTTAGTTTAAGACCAGATCTGTTTAAAACAATAACAGAATATTATCGAGGGAAAGTTGTCTCTTATAAAGTGATAGAGAAACCAAAGTATGGAAAGATTGTTATGGGCGATCAAGATATTGGGCTGTTGCCGGTTTTGAAATTGAATTCTGGTAATATTCAGGTGAGAAATATGTTTTTTAAAAAATACTTGATCAATCATTAAGAAATTCCCTTTACTTTATTTGATATTTGATAACTTCTTTACACTTTTAACTATATATTTATATATAACTATATTTTATTAACTCTATTCGTTAACTATATTCTATTCGTTATTTCAGTATATAAATGACGGTTCAGAAGAGTCGACGGATGTGATTCGTTTCGTCGCATTGACCGAAGGGGGCAAGGAAAGCGAGCCGTTTTACTTGTATGTGAACATAGCTCCTGTGAACGACGAGACTCCGATAGTGGCCGCTAACACCGGACTCTGTGTATGGGAAGGGGGCACTTTTACCTTCACTAGGAATGAACTATGTAAGCAAAAATATTATTTACTATTTTTTAAAATGAATTTAACTTTAAATGATATTTCTTAATTCTGTAGGAGTTACGTCCATTATTCCTGTGATTTTATGTCCGTATAAATTGTAACAGTTTGTAAATTATTGGCACTTAATTTGGCTAAATAATTCTGTCAATAGCTTTAAAATATTGGAAATTTTCAGAATCGAGCTTCAAATATGTATAATGTAAAAAATGGTAAACCTCAGGTCTAGATTTAATGTTTAATTAACGACTTTGAGAGTGGCTTGTTATTTAAATTGTATTTTCTGTTGCAGATGTGAACGACATTGATACACCGCTAGAGAACGTAACGATCCGTGTTGTGGATATACTGTCGGGGTACATCGCACTTAAACACGACCTCGACAGTCCCCGGCACAGCTTCACACAAGCAGACATCGACAAGGGATTAGTCGTCTTCGTACACACAAGTATGTATTTCAATACTAATCTATTAAAAAGTTATTTATTTATTTATGTAATGTTCATCATCACCAGCTCATTATATGTCCCAGGAGCCTATCCTAAGTTAAGGGTGACTAGGCCATAGTCAACACTGGCTCACTGTGTGTTGGTTTATTTTACACAAATCTTTGAATTTTAACGTAAGAACGTCGGTTAAGTTATATACATATGAAATTCGAAACTCGGAAATCACATTGGTACATGGCGGAATTCGAGCCCAAGACCTGTAAATTACAAGTCAAGAGCTTTAAACCCCTGAGCACATTTAAATCATACTTCATACTAATATCATAAATGCGAAAGTTGACATGGATAGATGAATGTTTGTTACGGTTTGTAGTCTAAACGGCTCAACGGATTTCGATGAAATATGGCGTAGACGATAGTCTGGAAAAACTCAGCTTTGTTTTTTTCTTTTAATTCCAAGCGGGCGGAGTCGCAGGCGAAAGCTAGTAATTTAATAAAACATTCTCTTACTATTTTCAGATGGTACAAAAGGCAAAATGATATTCAACGTCACCGATGGTCTCCACGAACTGTCCAAGATCACATTCCTCATATCAACCAAGTCTGTCTCACTCAAGATTGTGCGGAAACATAACCTGAAGGTGTTCCCACTCATGCGGGAGCCGCTCAATAATTACTTCCTTATGGCCAAGTGCTCCGATCCCACCAGAACTATCACATACAAAGTGATCCGAGCACCCAACCTCGGTAGACTTGTCATGCTCACTGGCGACAACCATCACAGATCCATCAAAGTATTCACACAAGAAGATATCAACAATACTTTAGTATATTACGAACACACGCATCCCTTCTCCGATCTTTACACCAATGATTCCTTCGTGTTCAGTATAGAAGCTGAGCTCGCGAAATCAATAACCGAGCAAATATTCAATATAGACATATCAGTGTCTTCCGGTGGACTTGCCAAATACGTGAACATACCGCAAATAAAAGTGCAAGAAGGAGAGAAAGTGCCCATCGTTGTGAATGTATCTAATGTGATAAGTTATTTGGAGAGTCAGGCAGGAGTGAGACAGCCTCAAGTTGAAGCTCAGTGGTCACAGCCAGCGCACGGTAGACTGAATCCTTCCATATCTTCCCTCACGCAAGTTCAAATGGAGACTGGGGTCGTTAACTACGAACACGACGGCTCTGATACTTTAGAGGACAAAATAGACATGTCTTTATACCTACTACCTGATTATGTCCTCCTCTGCAACGTCACCATACATTTTACAATAGTACCCGTCAACGATCAACCCTTCAGACTTTTGACAGACACCCCGCAAATACAAGTTGTCCAAGGAGAAAATTATACGATAACCAAAAACGATCTGTCGACCGAAGACGCAGATACGGAACCGACAGGCATATTGTATGATATTATTAGCGGACCAACTCAAGGCAGAATCGTTATGCTAGAGAAAAACCAATCAATGGACGACGCTCATTCTATAAATAAATTCTCTCAGGATGATATAAACACCGGTCGCGTTGTTTACGAACACTCCGGTATGCTACAAACTGCTACTTTCTACTTCAGAGTATGGGACGGTCAATTCAAGCCGACGTATACCGTGTTCACTATTGATGTGATACCGGTGATTCTAAATGCGACCTCTCTTCACCCGATTTATTTACAACAAGGCTCCAATGTGGCAACAGTTACGACAGAACAAATACACGTCGATACTAATGCTAAGAAGTCTAAAGTATGGTACAACATAACACGACAACCTCTCCATGGAATGATTTATGTCGGGAGGAGTCCAGTCACATATTTCTCACATAAAGATCTAATGGACAAAGTGGTCATATACATGCAGAATGATATGACGGTTGCTAACGATAGCTTCGAATTAATAGCGTATGCGCACAATACTAATTCAACTTTACCCTTCGCTATAGAGGTGATTGTTCAGCCTCTGATGATACTTGGAGAATTAAAGGTAGATGGTCAGAAAGCTAAGCTAAGTTTGAACAGCTTAGACGCTACCGAACTAGCGAAACTGACTGCAAGCGATCCAGTGTACACTATCATAAAGAAACCCAAATACGGAACTATTAAAAAGATCATCAGATCTTCAGGAGAGAAGACCAGTGCTAGAGAAAGGGAAGTGGCATACTTCACTCATGAAGATGTCAAAGCTGGCGTCATATACTTTGTAATTAAGAAGAAAATGGCCGATTTGAATGGATTCGAGGATAGTTTTCGATTCCTTTTAGCAGCATCGATATTTCAACCCGCAGCCGGCGATGTCAAGATATTAATCGGGAGTAAATCGAAGAAAAATTTACCCGGACCTAATGATCCTGAGAGTCATGAAGGCGTTTTGGTGAGTCAATTACTATACTTACTATTGTTAATTGAATTTTATATTGAATATTAACTTTCGCTCCCAAATCCGACCGTGTGAAAGTAAAAAACGAAAACAAAACTGAGTAGGCTGTGTCTTCTTCCAGCCAAATTTCATCGAAATACGTTGAGCCGTTTAGGTTACAAACTCTATCATAGATGGATGACATCTAAACTTTTGCATTAATTTAATAAAAATTTAATTTTAGTAAGAAGTTATATAGATAGATTTGTTTTCTAAATGTTAATACATTGAAAGGCATTTTAATAGCGCTAAATAAATCGTAGAGGCCTACTTTTAACATTTTCATCCATCCATCTAAACTTTCGCATTTATGATATTAGTATGGTATGTTTTAGGTGAGCAATGGTGAATCAACGTCGTATTACATTATGATAGTGATGGCGTTATCAGGCGTGGTGTTAGCTGTGATAGTGATAGCCGGTCTTATCAAATGCCGGCGGTACTTGTCGCGCGACAGGAACGCACTTGTGAAGATTCACGGGCAGGGGCAGGGGCAGGGGACGGTCGCGC